TTGTGATGTCTGTACAGTAGAATAATAAGATACCGCGAAGACCAACCCGTTGATGTCTTTGCTCCCTGTCGATTTGATCTCATCGACTTTTTATACTGTTAACCTTGTGTTTTTACTGCTAGCCTTTAAGTGCAATATCTGTAAATAAGAAGTTGAGGCCACTGAGGCTGGATACATACATACATACATATTTTTTTGTTTTTTGCAACATCCTATTTTGATCCTTGATCCCTTTGTTTTCTCTTTACAACAATGAAAAATTCACTACATACTATGAATTTGTTACATCTTCATAGAAAATTCCATATATATATATATATATATAACCATATAGACTGTATTTCTTGAAGCTAATGTCACTTTCTTGTTTTTTGAGTGCAGTCAGACTTAAAAATCCTAGGTACAATAATGTGAATTTTTTAAATGTGCCTGCGGTTCTCAAACTTGTTTGGTCATTCCCCAGTTTCAGCCCCTGGTTCTCAAACTTGTTTGGTCATTCCCCACTTTCAGCCCCTGTTGCCCCCACAAAACTCTTGAAAAAAACTTTCATTTTCCAATGTATCCAATTAATACAAAAGTAACGTCATATTATAAATAAATATCAATTACATAAAAAAAATGTTCAAAAAGTGAAAGTTGTACCAACATCACTTTAACCTTGAGAATTCCCTCCCATTGGTCGTGCCCCACCTGTCATGTGTTTGTTCTCCAACTGGTATAGAGTCTTCTCGTTTTCTATTTCATAGCCCAGCAACCCACTCCTCAATTCAACCAGTAACCAGTATCACTACTGTACATGCTGTAAACACTCTGTAAACTGTAATCTTCACATCACAAAGATGTAATAGCACAGCTGAATGGTAAACTGCTGTCAGGGAATATTCCCTCGCTTCTTAATAACATACTCACACGGTTCACACGGGCTCAGAGTGAAACGTTCCAGCTGCTTCCTCCAGCATTGGCTACATTGACGGGCTATAAACAATGCACATTTTAAACGGTGCAGTGTTACCTTTTCCTGAAGCAGAGAGGGGTCACGAGTGCATGAGCTGCTCATTACAGTGATGTGTGGCCGGGAACCAGTTCTGCAGGAGGTGAATGGAGTAATTAGATTTGACTCTGTAAGAACAATAAAACACACACAGTTAACCCAGAAAATGAGTTTGAGTTGCGTCAGTTAGTAAAAACGCCCTACTTTATAAGATGTTGTTACGTCATATTAAGGCTTTAACAAGCCTTTTCTGGGATTATATAAGAGGGGAATTGAAATGCATGAATTTCAGGGTAAAAAAAATAACAACATCTGAGGTTTTTTTCTTGGTCGTAAGAGAGAGAGACTTGTCAAAACAGGAAAATGCATTTTTCATTTACCTGATGAAATAAACACAATAAGAGTTTGACATTTTCTCAAGCTTTTAGGTACAGTACATCGCAGATTTTTTTTTTTTTATCTCTTCTGCGGAAGATTGGCCAGTATGCACTACTCTGTTCACTCTTCTCTCTCATTGGTCCCGGCTCCTACGATAATATATAAGGATATATAAATATATATATCTATATTGTATATATATGTATATATCTATCTATATATGTCTGTAATAACAGTGAGGGAGGGGGGTTCGTAAAGGGTAAATATATAAAGACGTTATATAAAAAACATCTCACCCGTCTCGCATCTTGGAACGCAACTGCCGCGATAGAAGAGGGATCAGTGTGATTGAATTCAAAGGAGTTGACTACACTTTTTCAAGCTTTCTGTTTTCAGGAATTATTATTATTATTGGTCATTAACATCTGTGGTGTGTGAGGGTTAGCCAAAATGTCATAAGAGAGATTGAAAATGACTCATCCGCGACAATAACTGAACTATTTCTCTTTGTCCTCCATTGGCCTCTTAACACGTCTGCAAGATGTATTTAAATCAGACAGTTTGCGATTCTAAAATCGTGACCCTATCGCGTAGTACTGTATTTGTATTAAAACGAAGAGGGGAAAAAAAAAAATCTGATATGAAATGATGGCATATTAAGAACGCATATTGAACGATAGTCAAAACAGCAGGAGGCCTGACTTTAATCCTGGCTAATGTGCTGTTATCTGGAACTATTTTGGGAACAGGAATGATACTCTCAATTGCACAGCTGACCTGAGGCTGTCTTTCTGCTAAATGGGAACAGTTGTGTACACAGACGACATAACTTACTGTATGGATTTGGAAAATAATTCATTTCCATTTATAGCTATGCATTTAGCAGACACTTTTATCCAAAGCCACTTATATGAGGAGGATAGAGTATATGGTTTCACTGGGCCTCGAACCCAGGACCCTCTGCGGGTGAGGCAGAATTTCAGTGTAGAGTTGTGATACTACATAGTGAAAGCAAGTGCTGAAAAATAGAGGAGCACCAGGACGAGCGGCACTTATATATATTATATTATACGGATAAATGGCTGTGTATGAATAAGGAGCAGACAATGCTACGAAAACAATAACTAAGTTCTGACTTCTTTCTCTTTTAGACTCTGAGACGGTGTTTTCGCTCTTATCCCTGTATTTTTTTTGCTTCCTTTAAGGCTTTTTAAGTCTCTCTCTCTTTCTATTTCTTTCTTTCTCTTTTTTTTTAACACATGCCTCTGTGAAAACGTCACGCTCAAGTTGGTGGCCACGTCTACGTTACAGTTCCAACCAATGGTTAACGTTCCGAAGGGTTTGTGTAAATCTTTTAAAAACACTTGTTTGTTGATGTTTGCTGTGTAATAAGACCTGACAACAGCGCCCACTGTGAACATAACACTGGAGACAGTGTGATCCACTTAAACTCAACCCTAGTGCACGTTCCGATGTGTGCTACACAGCATTGGACACTACGTTTATTGTGAAAGAAAAACAAATGTTTGCTTTGTCCATACATTTATTATAGAAGGTCTACCTTAATTTTTTTTTAAATAAATTAAAGTAATGGCTCTGAATAGGTGTTACAGTAAAGACAAGGTATCTTTGTACCCAGTTTAGAAAAGAAAAAGAATTGCAGTCATTACAATCAGCCAGTCAGTCATTGACTCATTGACAGTTTACAATGGGAATTTGAAGACTTTGTGAATTTTTGCATTTAAAACCTCAGCTGCCATTTGAAGTATTCATGGTAGGAATAATGAACGAACAATAAGACAATCCCAAAAGATTTACAGAATAAATAAAGGCTTCATTTTGTTTTTCTCTTCAGTCTGAGCCCCAGACCTATTGCTAAAATAAATAGTTGTTCAAAGGCGAAAATCAACTCTAATGACTAAATGTAGTTAGTGGGAAATCTCAACCACTGTGCAGACATTTTAGTTCCACTTTTATGTACTTGATTAGTTTCATCACCCACGGAACGCGGTGAATCCATTCTCTTAATGTAATTTGTGGAAAATGTACCATGACAGTGTAATTATTTTAAGGGGACACATTTGCATTTCCAGTGCTCTGGTTACGAAAATGTTTAAGGCCTGGAAGACAAATTAAAAAATCTGGAGAATTTAAAAGCCATGAAACATTCAAATTAGGTAATTTCACAACCTAAAGGGCAAAGCTTCAGACTGCTGTACATATGCAGGCAGACACACTTTTAAGTAAACATCGTCGCTAATCACTGAGACAGCAATCAGAGTGATGGAAGAAATTCTTTTCTGAAGCCTTTATTGACCCCTGAAGCGATGACTTGGAAGATAGGATTTAAACAACGTTGATGCATTAAATTCTTAGTCGAATGCTGACTTAAATTTGACGGCGCTCGATAGACTTTCTCCCTAAATATTTTTAATAATTTTCAGCTGGGGAATTACGGCAAATGGAGAAGCAGCTGTAAACCAGGGCTGTTTGGGGCATTTCTTTGAAGAAGGCTCCTTATGATGTTTTATGGGAAATCAATTGGAAGTGTTGCTCTGCCCCAATTTAGAAGTCGAAGTCTGATCAAACCGAGTTGCAACCGCTCTAAAGACTACAAGTGTTCATTTTTGTTCTTTAGTGCTACAAGTTTAGTAATTGACTCTGCTTTTTGGCTTCGGGCAACAACCTAATAAGGCCATCCAAGGTTAATGATAGACCCTTTTTAGACAGGCTGAACGTCTGACACCGGTATGTAGTGGAAGTGAGAAACAATTATTACCTACAGGAGAAGACATTTGGCAAAAGCCGCTGACATCTGAGTGAAACGTCGCGTCGCGTCTTTGCCTGTTCATTAGCTGTAGCCGTTGGACGTTAGATCAAATGCCTTAGCTTTAGGTGTCATAGCCGCCGCAGCCGCACCGGCACCGCAAATCTTGGTGATTTAACGTCTTTCACAGTCAGGCAGCAGGAGTCAGCACAAGTGTCATCTGCCAATGCCAGTCTGCTATCAGGGTGTCCCCCTGCCATACAATTTATCCCCTTTCTGCGTTCTTTATTAGCCATAGATTATGGAGGATTTTGACGTTGTAAAGCTTCTGCTGTCAAGGTAGCCTTGTAATCGCGTCTGGGGAGATAGGTTGGGTAACGACCTGGGTATGAATCGTACTGTAATTTAACTGCTGTCTTTTTTTTTTTGCATCATATATGTATATATGTTTTATGACCTTCTCTTTTCGTCAGTGGACCAATTGCTTTTAATGAGCTTTGGTTTATTTACCTAAATTGAATGATTTCTAGCTTCATCTTGTACTTGTTTTTTTTTTTGTTTGTTTGTTTTTTTTTGCTGAATAAAGTGCTTAGTACTTGTGGCTTCTAGTGTAGTATTCTCAGATTAATTGTAAGTTTTGGGGGGTTGTTTTTGTTGGTGATTTTGTTTTATTTTGGCAAGAGCATATATAATATATATTGCATGTAAAATAATAATGATCATAATAAGAATTATTATTGTTATGGTTATTATTATTATTATATTATTAACAATAATAATAATATTCGTATTGTCATTAGATTATGGACATAGTTGACATGACAAAATAAAATGTATATATATTTTTTTTTTTTTTTTCCCCAGAACTCTGGATCCTCAGCAACCTCTACTCCCAGTGCTCCGGTCACTGGTTACAAAAGGATGGTCATCCCAAATCAGCCTCCTCTCACAGCCACCAAGAAGTCTACACCCAAACCTCAGATTCCTGGGGGAGGCTCTCCCACTTCCCCTGCCTCTGTCAGCCCGGTGGCCAAGCCTCAAAGCCACATGGCTCCTCAGCCTGTCCCAGCATCCTATGCAACAGCCTCAACCCCAAGCCAACCTACCTTTAATGTCCAGGTGAGGTCAGCCCAGCCCGGACCCCAGCATCCAGTGCCTGGGAGCCAACATTTTAATCGCAGCCCTGCACAGGTGCAGTACATGCCTGCCCAACCCAAAGGTCCCGACTTTGCCTATGGACCGCCGCAGCCCGGCTTCTCCCCAATGGGTCAGGGAATTGCATATCATGAGCAGCACCATCCAGGGGCTTTACAAGGAGGGGGGCGAGGATTTCGAGGGCCTGCTCCCACCCAAGCATACCAGGCTCCTGACCCCAAGAAAACATACATCACAGAAGTACCACCGAGCTTAGCTCCATACACTTCTGGACCAGCTGTTCCGCCAAAGGTACGAAGCACTTATACAGATTTGACCGCAGTTACCGCATCCAGGTACGAAGCACTTATACAGATTTGACTACAGCATCTGATTGGCTGTAGGTGGAAAGTAAAACATGGGATGCTTGTTACTGTCAACAAGCTCGGATTGATACATATTGTCCTACATCATACACTGGCGATAATTATATAATAACGGGTTCCCAACTTGTTATAAGCAGTGGTAGTCGACAGATAATCCTGACCTGTTCTACCTCTAACTGACCACCACAAAGATGGTAAATATCACATCTTAAGAAAGTAAAGAATAAGTCATGGTCTAATGAGGGGCTGATGTTTTGCAGGTCAAAGAACAAGAGGTCTGCTTTTGTCAAGTGCTTAAATTTTTAGTATCTAAAGGCAACTCGTCTTGCGCTAGTTAATAATTCAGACATTGTTGTTCGGAGGGTGTATGTGTGTATGCACACATATGGCATTTATTTGTGCAGCATCATGCGGTACATAAGAGGGAAGCTCTTCACTGTCTTTTATTTAAATGCGCAGGATAAACTGTTGTTCTAACCTTTATGAATTTTTAAAATGTCTTCTCTGTTGGGGATTTACACCATCTGATTTCATTTGTCTCATAAAAGGCACATTCTGCGCTCCCCCGTTCTTCAAATTGCAACCTAACAAACCAAACACATACAGCAGCTTCATATATGTTTGTTTTTGTGTGTGGATTTTACAAGGCCAGTATGAAACGACTCTGTCTCTACCATTATGTACTGCAGTGATTCTCAACCACTGGTCCGTGGCACCACCTTGCCGTGATTCTCAACCACTGGTCCGTGGCACCTTAACATGCCTGGGAGATCATCAGGTGTACTGTGAAAAAATGATCAAATATCACTTATTTTTTCCGAAAACTTGTTTATTTAAATAATTTGTCTTTGTCTGTCTACCACAAGATGGCAGCAGATGGCTATAAAACTTAAAAAAAGGAGAAAATCAAAGCTAGGGAAATTCCGTTTTGTATCTTCCTTCAATTCCTGCGTGTTCAACTAAACTGTATGTCAGTCAGTTGATTTATTGAAACACACACACGCAGAGCTTTTTTATCTCTACTCTGACCAACGTTCCTTCATCCTCATCACTTAACTGCGTGCAGCAGCATCTGCCAAGGTCAGTTATCGCAACAAAGAATATGGAATGATTAGCTCCTTCTAATATTTCTTGAACTATTATCTAACAATGCATTGATGATTGTCCATGGTGGACATGAAAGAGGGTTTTGAAGAGGAAACAGAAACCTTGAAAATCCCTATAAATCCTGTCTGTGCTGTAGCATTAAACATGTTCATAGAACAATATGTTTGTAAGGAAATTCTTGGTAAATACCAAAGGGATTTTTTTTCTTTCCTGTGCTTCTCAACACACATCCACACCGATCTCTGGACATTGCAAGGCCCTTGAGGTTTTTTTTTATTATTATTATTATTATTATTTTAGAATCGTTTGCATTTTCAAAATACACACGCAGCCTAGTTAGCCTTTGAGAGTTGCTTATCAAGGACTGCACTTTACTAAATACAAATTAGCTTCAGCGCTGCAGTTAGTGTCTTAAAAACAACTCTAATTATATTTGTTCAAAACAGTACTCCTCATTTTGCTTAAATAGCACACTCTGTTCCCAGTATGATGCATTAATAAAAAGCAAAAGGTGGCATTTAATTAGTCTGCGTACAACTCTTTGATTTCAGATGAAAGTCGAACAAAACAAAAAAGAAAACGTACAGATGCGGCTCATGTATAAACATACATGTTTACGTATATATATGTGTGTGTGTGTAAACATGTTTCCAAGGATATGATGTATAGTAGCAGGGTAATGGGCTTGTTGTCCTTCCCCCGTGGCTTTATTTGAACACTTTGAAACACACGAACCTGTTTGCTCCATTTGCGCACATCGTCATAAGCCTCTCCTGTCAATGATGTTAGTGTTGACCCATTTGACCTTTTTCCTGAAACATTCAAACCTTAGCCCTAATCCCTGCGTTGTTCATTTGTGCTCGCCGTTTCTGAATTGTAATCCCCAACAAAACAGAAAGACTGTAAAATCCATATTGGAAGGACAGGAAAATCAGTCTCTAAGATCATCATCCGGCTTTTCTCACTGTGTGTGACATATGCCATCTATAGGGACATACTTCTGTCGATATCTAAATATCACGTTCAAATCATCAAAAACCAAATGAAAACATCACCAGATAAAAATGAAAAAAAAAAACAAACAACAAAAAAACATTAATTTATTATTATTATTATTATTATTATCATCATACTGCATTTTAATAACCAAGTCTCTTATGGACTTGTCATTGGAAGACCATGATGATTCTGAGATTTTTAAACACACACATTGCTTTTTTTTGATGGCATAATTTAATGCTTTTAAATATTCCTCATCCTATCCTTAAACGTGGGAAATAAAAAATGTGGTAAAATGATTCAGTCCTCTAAAATCATCACCCAGCCACAGACCCTTTTCAACCCTTTTGATTTAATGTGTCACACCCTTGGAATTCTATTTTTACATCACCTTTTCTTCTCTCCAATTACTGCACTCAGTTTCATATGTGCTCTAATCTAGGGGTTCCAAAACTGTTCCATGCCAAGGCTCCCCAAACATCACTTTGATAAACCCACAAACTCACAAAATATGTAAAGAAACATTGACTTTTACAAGGTATTTTCCTGCCTTTTTTTTACTATTCATTAATTATACGTTTGTTTAGCGTAAGAACATTATTAATGGGCATGCACTAGCTAGCCATACGCCAGATGGTAATTTTATTTATTTTATTTATTTTTTATTTTCCCACTGCTCTAATCAACCAGCATTGATAAAGCAGGCTCTGTGTGAAGAGCCTTTATGAGAGGACAATTTGCTGAAAATGAAAGTTAGTCTATGTAATCACTGTCTTTCATAGATGCTTGTTCAACTAGGGTTGTAATGCCCACTATGTACATCAGCATCGCTGCCTGTCAATGTCAGTGTTTTTTGTTTTTTTTACCATTACGGTGATTCAAGATTAGCGACAAGTAGATGAGAGGAACAATAAAGATTCAGGATTTTGGAGGTCAAGTTAGAGAGGGCATGGTGGAGATGGTTTGGACATATGCTGAGAGAGATACTGGATATGTTGGACAAAGGACTAGAGGAATAACCTCAGAGGAGATTTATAGATGTGGTGGAAGAGGATGAAAGAAGGTGACCTGTTTTGGCTCCATCTGCAGGGAGCAATTTAAAAAAGAAAACGTTTTTTTTTGTTTACCTTTCGTAAATGTTATGTGGCAGTCCAATGCGATAACAGGCTATCAGGCTCAACTGAGACTAAATGAGGCTCAAAAACATGCAAGCGTTGGAACCAGGGACTTTTAGGTCAGAGGTGTTCTGAAGAAACACCAAGACAATATAACATGTAACAAACATGCCTTCAATATGAACAGGGGGATATGGAGATATGCATCAATAACCTTCAGTTTTATACTCACATATATATATGTATATGTGTGTGTGTATATATACATGTATATATATGTATGTGTATATATACGTAACAACAGTGACAACAACAACAATAAGAAGAATTTAGAGAATATTGTCTAACTTATATTGTGTTTAAGTTCTGAAATGAAGCATATGTAGAGAAATAGATTAGTAATGGTCAATAGCAATAGCAATATATATGTAATTAGATATATTTACATATAAATATATATGAATATATGACACACCCGATAAAGTTGACTTTTAAATATCAGGTGACTTGGCTGTGCGACACTGATCTGGGGTCATCTGAATTCTGCTGTCACTGCACATGTGCAGACAAGGATATGTCGTTCCTACGGTGCCTTGAGAATTTTGCTAGGTGACACAACGTTTTTTCGGTGGCCCACACAGGCTCTGGTTACCAGACACCTTACAGGCTAAAGGTCGGTTCACTTGACCTAATCTTCGAGGTCAGTGATGGAACGTGTTTCTCCTTCTGTTTCACTCCTTCGTGGCAGCACCCTCAAAGAGCTTCCTTCCAGTAGCTGATCGTGGGGCTTTAGCTTTGATAAATATCCAAGGCAAATATAGCCACGAGCAACATCAACAGGAACCAGACCCGTTGAGGCTAATGGGTTTATAAACAACAGTAGTTCCATTTTACAGTGATTTATGGTCAAAAGCGTGCATTTATTTCACGGTCAGAATTTTTAAAATTAAAGGAATATTAATGACAGTACACATTAGTCATTCAAAGTAACCCATGTTTTGAATTAATCATGAGCGTTTCTATGAACGTGTACAGTTAATTACAAAACGAATCCACAGACACAGGGATTTGACGTTCCTTTTTTGTTACAAGTACAAGACCTGTATTGTTTTGTGACTACTTTGATTGAGTATTCTAGTTCATTTTTTATTAAAAAAAAAAAGTATCAAAATGTAATAATGAATAACTTGAGAAAGCCAAGTAGATGAATGATCAAAGTTGCAACGATGTAGATGTGGAACGAGTGTCGTCTGTCGTGTACCGTAGTACAGTGGTGCCGTTACAGTTACAGATAACGTGTTGGATTATTTTTCACCTGAAAAACAGAATTGAAAATGTATGTCACATAGTTGTCCCCCGCATTTGTCTGCATAGGACTGGGAGATTCAATATGAAGACCATAGGTGTCAAACTCTAGGCCCGGGGGCCAAATGCGGCCCGCCAAGCCATTGTGTGTGGCCCGCGGGAGCTTAAAAATCATTTAGTAAAGTTCATGCAGAAGAGTTTCTTAACCAATGAAATTAAGTTGTTGTTTTTTTATTACACAGAAATGAACAATATTTTTTAGCTTGAATAAATTATAATCAATTGCAGATACATGTTTTAGTCTGTTATGGCGTAGTTTCACCAGTGGTCCCTGACCATGGTTTGTTGGTCTGTTTGTATCACAGTCTGAATGACCTATTATTTTAAAATATTGCCAGATTATCTTTAAATTAAACACATTTTTTTCACTCCCACTGCGGCCCCGTACCAAATGACCTTGGGACTGGTATTGGTCCACGAACCAGGGGTTGGGAACCACTGATCTATACAGTCTACCATTTACAACTGGCCCTTCAAGGGGAACTGCATTGCTGACGTGGCCCCCTGGTGAAACTAAGTTTGACCCTGATCTAAACCAATCGATGTCTAATTTAATAATGACAAGGTAGTGAAATGTAACAAACATAACGAAAAATACACTGATTCGCAGTGCTACACAACCCTTGAATAAAAATAAAATAATACATGTAAATAAATAATCAATTGTGTTTTTGCAGACTACACTGACAATTATCATTTTATTATAATAGCACAATCATAACAGCAGTCACTTTGGTATTGATCTAAGTCAGGCTTTTGATGTAGTCTTGCTTGACCTCTTCTGCGGTCATTTACCAGCCTTTAACCTGGATACATATATATAAAAAACAAATTACCGTAAAGCAAAAGTCATTTTGAAGTGGAGTCGTATTCACCTGCAGAAACAGTGGTTCTGTCTTTTGTCTGCCTTATACTGCACCTCATGATACGTGTCCTCTTTCTAAACATTTTCTCTCATCAAGCACCCGTAGGTAGATCAGGACCTTTGTGTTCCCCGGGTTCAATTTAGTGGCAGTGTCTGGTCAATCCGGTCAAGCAGTTTCCTTCAGGGTGTCATTCACATAAACCATGTGGCCGTTAAGGTGGAAGAGACAGGGATATATCATGGTTTGCCTCGGGGGCCAAATTACACAGGAGATTGACAACACTATGTGTCGCGGAGGGGAAGTGCAGGTTGCCAATACATCGATTTGAAGACATAACCTGTATGAATCTTCATTATGTCCACCACACGTGCTTAAATATAGATCTGTGTCACCGCATGAGGAACCAGCGGGGAAACCTGCATCCTCTCTAATGTAGTGTTTGCTACAGTCACAGGATTGTCGTGGTATACAGAGATCTGCCAGATCTGTTTAATCTTTAACCCGACAATTTGTTCTGTCATTTGTTGTTGTTGTTGTCGTTCCTTTTCCAGATTGCCTCTGGCGGTCCTCTCTACTCTCTCACATTTTCAAGTATCTTTGTTTAGAAGGATGTGTCAGTTGCTAACAGATGACCTAGTTTTGACTCGTGCGCAGGCTTCCCGACATCGATTAGACCCCAGCGCACACGTGGATTCACTCCGTGCCGTGAGAGTTGAAAGCCTGGTGAAATGGTGGAATATGGATAAGGTTAATTTTTAATTGTCGCCGCCTGCTCTATAAACAGTTGTTCCTCAGTCAACAGTATTTTTTTTTTCTCCCCCCTCTCAGCTTGTAATTGGAGCTGAAAAAACATGACCTATTTAGTTTGAAGAAAAATGTAAACTTTGGTTGCCTACTCAGAAGGTGGCCTTGAGCTTCATTTGCTGTACGGCTTTACTCGCTCACCAAGTGTTTCTCACTGTATTACCAGAGCCTGTTCATCAGTGCTAACTAGAGTGGCTTATGTAACCTCATTAACATATGATCCTTTTTGCACACTTAACATGTTTTTATAGTAAACATGTAGCTGTCATACATTTTTACTGCAGTGAAAACGCAGGAATACACAAGCATGAAAACCAAACAACAATATCCTTCTCCGGAAACTGAGTGACCAAAACCAGATCAAGGACACACGATGCTGCACATGTGTAACAATAGAACTATCATAAATGGAAGTAGCAAAAAAAAAAAAGGAATATTTTGGTGTATATTCCCGACCCAGCTAACTCTGCTCACAACATGAAATCGAATTCAAAGAACTCACATGGCTAACATGCTTGACACTGCGTACATCCATATATATGTGCAAGCGCAGAAAATGCTAAGACGATCGTCCTCGTTTTATACAGGGCAAAAAGCCTTTACAGTCTTTACAGACACTACAATTGACGGTGTAATTTGATTAGCTGGATGTTGTTTGTTTCACCAGCAGATCGTTCTGCAAAATGATTGCAACTGCTTTAAAAAGCAAAACATAAAATTGATTGATTGATTTATTGATTGAAGTTTATTTCGAATATGAAAATGAAAGAAAAGGAATCCATACTGATGATTACGAAGTGAATTTTCTCCCTTAGTTATAACTGCCCTCATGAATACTGAATGATTTCTGGATGTTTATTGGCAACAGATTGTTTTTAGTTGGGAACATTAATTGAACTGTTTGAAAGTTGACAATGTCTGGAAATGTTAGCAATCTGGAGTGGATGAATAGTGCATTTGTGTGTTCCTGGTGGCCGACATTGTGAATGATCCGTATTGCTCTTTTTTGCATTATGGTTAGTGAACGTGGTGATGTTTTGTAACTTTTACCCCACACCTCTGCATAATATTGAAAGTATGGTGAGACAAGGGAGCAGTAAAGTGTGTGAAGTGACTTCTGATCCAAAACCTTTTTTTGCTTTGTTTATTAATGCAATACTTATTGCAACCTTGGTTTGTATGTTTTTAATATGTGCTTTCCAGTTGATTTTGTCATCTATAGTTAACCCTAAAAATTGAATTGAATTAAAATCAAACTTTAAACATTAGACAATGGACACGACTTACCTAAAATTAGCACAAACATGATAGAAACTGTGGTGAGCGCCCTAGGAGCAAGGATAAACAATGTATGGAAATGAAGCAGAAAATAACCACTGTAGTCTTCTGTGTGTGCACGTACGGCTTCTCTGTGGATATCATTGCTGCCTATGAAAGCTGAACAGGAACTATAGAGCAATCCTAATGCATGCGAGGAGGCAATTTCTTTCTCCTATTCAAGTGAAAAATTATTCCCTGCTGTCACAAAAGACTTCCTGACAAGGTGCTTTTAACTTGCTGTGGGGTGTCAGAAAGTGGATAAGGTATAATTGAAGCTTAAATTCAAATAGTTTCTGGTCTCTGGTAATGGCAGCATCTCATTCTCTCTACAATGTTTTTTTTTTTTTTTCTGACGTGGAGCTCGGCTCGAGTGTGATCATACTTTTCAATTTTTGCCAACGAACAACAAGGGCATAATGAGCAAATTATTCGGAACAGGAGCCATTCTTTGAGCAGTGCCAACATTGTTAGCTTTGACATATGATCTCTTGTGACCATGACTATGACAGCCACTTTGAGAATTAAAAAAAAAACAATACCAGATTAAGGTGAAATATTTAGAGAATAAAGCCGTATGGTTACAAGAAAAAAGTCGTAATTTTACAAGAAATAAATCGTCATTTTTCGAGAAAGAAAAGTCGCAGTGGTTCGAGAAAAGAGTTGTAATTTTAAGTGAAAAAAGGTGTAATGTTGCCAGAAAAAAAAAGTAATCATCTTTAAAAAAAAAGTCATAAATACATTGATGATTAAAGGCCGTAAATGTAAGATTATACAGTTTAGATTATGTGTTTTTAGAAACGTTGAGAATTTTGTGTGGTTATACTTCACAAACAAGCATCACATTTATATAAAAATCCGAACACTGAAAATGTTGTCTGTGCTGAAGACAGAACCAGACGGACCTGGAGGAAGTTTGTGAATGCAGGAAATCACAAACTTCCATTACTATAATCACCCAGCTCTCTACAATGTCTTATCATAAAATGATTTTATTTTTTTTATTTTTTTTTTCATTTCGTTACAACTCTATTCTCAAAAATGTAGGATGTTACTCTCATTATTTTTTACTCTCATTCTAGCCCTAATACTCCGTACAAGACAATTTTGTGCATGCGTTTTTTTTGGTTCAAATTCATGCCATCCTCAAGCTGTCAATATCGTAGCTTCAGCCTGCAGGAAATATGGCCGCAAGATTGTTTAAATAAATAAGTTTTAACATCAGCCTGGCTCGTAACATTCACCTACATCCCTGATGTCACAATTAGAAACACCTCAAAGGTCAGCTCAGAGCTTAGTCTGTGGAACAATATTGGAAAATCCAATCTATTCTAATGATCAGACTGAACCCCAGATTCAGTTAAGGTCATCCGAGTGCCACTGGTTTCTGGGAAGAAAAAAAAACCAAAAAACCCCGGCCCTGCTGCAGTAAAAGTCAACTTCATGCCTCAGGGTGTTTGCAAAGGACTTGCGTACCTGTGAGGGCATTGTGCCATGAGTTTGAGCGTTTGCAGGTGGGGATTAGTCGATGGCTGTATGGATGGCAGAAAATATCAGGCACGTCCCATCAGCTTTGTACAAACACACAGCAGGAAGATGCCAGAGACTGCATCAGAGGGAGGAGGGCAGGCTCAGGAAGAAAGAGAGGGGGGGGGGGGGGGGCATCTTCAGAGAGTTGTGTCATCCTTCTAAAATCTTTCAGATTATGGCTTAACATGGCTCGATGCTTTGTGCTCGGTGTAGGTTTTATATACAGTAACGATCTCCTGACCTTTAACCCATATATACACAAGACTTAAAACAAGAAGGTCTCTTCTAATGTCTCCTCAGCCACGCTTTTTTTATTTTCTTATCATTATTTTCTGAACACACAGATTAGCCAGGGTCGTATTTTTGTGCTCATGCTTGAATTGCAGATAGGGTAATGCCGAACCTTCCAGGCTGCACACACCACTAGGGGCCCTATGCCAGGGTCACAGTCCTCAGTGGGTAAAAGTCAGACCTAGTCCTGCATGGTAATCACTGCATCCATGTTTTGTTTGACCTTGAAACATTCTGAATAATCCATCGTTTTGTTTATTTGTTTTTTTTATAGGCTGGTCATAAACAATATGTTAAGCATTACGTTACAGTGTTGCCTTGGTTTAATTTGTGTATCACTTTAATCTTACTTTTCTGTTGTTGTTGTTTTTTTTTTTTTTTTTTTTTTTTTTTAGGGCAGTGCTCCTGTGGTCCACCCAGAAGATGAACTGGAGCGCCTGACCAAAAAGATGCTGTTTGACATGGACAACCCACCTTCTGAGGAATACTTTGGTAAGAACCACAACCCAACACTATTAGTATGTCAAGTTGATACAAGCAGATTGTTTTAGGATTTTTCTTTTTTATTTTAAACATATTTAATTGTATACATATAAACAACGACTTGAGACTTATTTTCATACTACATTTCACATCGAGCTATTTATCAGCCAGTAGAGTAATACTCAGTGGACTGTGTTGATCGTATGAGACGCGTCTGCATTTACTTTATTATGATAATAATAACAAAAACATGAAGTCAACAGGTTAGCAATGTAACATACAGTGTTAAACTTATGTCAAAACATTTTTATTTACATTATCGTGTTTTTTATATAGTTATTACGAGCATGCGGGCTTGTTATGCAAACTGATTTTGTCAGGGTTTTGGTAAACACATTTGCGTCTCTAGTCTAGTGTGTCTGTGAACTGATTGGATGCCAGATCAGTTCAAATTCTGCCGAAGTGTCCTAAAATAAGCTCTGTCGATTTCACCCGCTTTGTGGTGTTGTTAGGAGGGTAGTGATAATTATCTCGACTGCACTACCACTCGAACTGTGTAAGGGTCTGCCATGTTCTGTACTGGTGTGGGACTGTTAGACCGATCGATCTGATATAGGTGTTGGTCAAGGAAGGTAGGTGATATTGGTCAAAATTTCACGATCCTTTGTGCGACAGGTCGTAAACAGGGACAACATTACTTGAGTCCAAACTGCAGTATTGGTATCAGAAATGAAAATGTTGTACTGAGCCATAGCTTGTAAACACAGCGGCTCTATCCCTTGGGGCAGTGCTGGCTTAGTGGTTAAGGAAGCGGACATGGCTCTGGAAGGTTTCAGTTTCGAGTCCAATCAGCTGCTAAGTTACCACTGAGGTTCTTTTGCTGTCTTTTATTATTAAAGTTTAGGACGTCCCTGCAGTTACTGCCAACAGCTCTGAGTCATGCATGTTTTTGCAGTTCCGTGGCACTCAATACCAGTCGTAGTATTGTAAGAACCTAATGAATAGAAACTATATTTTGGGCCACGAGAAGTAGTCCTGCCAGTTTACCACACCTGCATGACTCACTTACACCTTACAGTCCACACGCACACGAGGAAAAAACTTGGATCGTCATGTGCCAGTCAGATGCTTTATCAGTGCTCAACGGTTGCCATGGTAACACGCAGCTGTTGTCGGGTCTTCCCCCTGAGGAAGAGCACACAGGGGCTCATTACCGTTTAAAGGTAAATGCACTGAAACTGACCATTTAAGGCCAGACTGTTTAACAGTCGTTTTAACTTTGTTTCTTTCAACCATTTAAGGCCAGACTGTTTAACAGTTGTTTTAACTTTGTTTCTTTCAACCGTAACACGTCACTGACGTTTCATTTAGACTCCGTGTTACTTGTCATGACGTTTCATTTAGACTCCGTGTTACTTCATACTTCATACGTCATAAAAGATGTATTTATTGCCTCATATATTGTATATTGCCATGTATGCGGTAGTTGATGTTGTACGTGCAGAAAACAATCACAATCAGGTCATGGTTTTAATGCTCTATGCTACATCATTAGCATCATGGTAATATACTGTATATTTAAAAAAAAAAAGAACAATCATATAAAGCAGCGCTGCAGTAATGAAAAAATAATAATACAGAAGACTGAATCCCTGCATTCATATTACATTTATATTTGAGTGCCGTCCCTTTGCTTCCTTTGGTCTTCAGCCTTTAATCCCCTTTGCCCTGGTATTAGTTTCCATGCCCATTAGGTGCCTCTCTCATTCAGCAGGCTTTATATCAGCACATTATCACACAGCACTCAGTGATAACATGTAGGTGTACTATAGCTACACAATGTGTATTTAACTGGTATTAAGGGCCGTCCTGCTGCACACTGATGTAAAGCTCCTAATTGGTTCACATTAGACGGAGGTCAAATGGATCTGCTGGCTTAAGGCAACTGAAGTCATATTACACAGGAATGGCCCTTTAAGCCTTGTTGGCCCAATTTTACATGTGTGATGTGGAATGGGTGTGGACTCTCAACCACCTTAACCATAGGTATCCAGTATCCAGTGGTCATTGTTTGCTAACCTCCAGACAGACTGATTTAAACCTAAGACATGTCGCGTTGTGGGTCGTACTGTGTGTGAAATTTTACTTAGATGACCTCAGATTAGCATTAGCGTGGGAAATCATACGTCGTTACGGACGCAAAATGAACGCAGGCCAAGTCATGTGACATATATCATATATAAATTCATAGTTTGTAACATGCGTACATTGACATTAGTCACATCTGCTCAGATCTTATACTAAGACTATTCATTTGAGTGAGTTAAGATAACGTTAGCATGTATTAATCGTAAACGTAATGTAAAAAAATATATATATAAATTTCACGCTAACCAAAACCAGGCATCAAGTTTTTTTTTGGCCTTTCCAAAAAAATAAAAAATGATATATCTATTACTGTAAATGCAGTAAATGTGAAGAATAGCATGTGCAGCTAAGAATTTAAATCTGCTAATGTTAAAAAATTAAACAAATTTAAAATAAAAAAAAATAGAAAATTTAACTAAATAAAAAACTTTAAAAAATAGAAAAAGGAAATGAAAATGGTATAGAATTTTTTTAATAAACTAGTGCAGAATATTTAATTTAATAAATAATATATACAAATAAATATCAGAATACAATGCAAGAGAAGATTTTAAAATTTAACAAATTGGGTTAAAAGCAGAGGCTCAGTTCCGTTGTATCCTCGTGGTACAGTGACAATACAGACCATAAAATAAAATAAATAAAAAATAAATTTACATTTATTTTGACAGTGGTCAACATTAACTCTGTGGTCATTTCGGTGCTGGTGTCGGACATAAGGAATTGAATCACACAGGGAAAACTTGTTGCCAACATGAATGGGACAGGCTGGTGTTTGAACTTGGTGACGGCAGAAATAAATGAGAGCCAGAAAAGGGCTGAGGTGACTGCAGGGACTCATTAGGATAGAGTTCAAGTGCAGACACATGCTGCTTTCCAAATCCACAGAGCCTCCCATGTGCCCCGGCTGAATAATGTACACAAAGTCAAAACAGTTGTGTTCAATTTGCACTTAAGTACGGCATGATTTAAAACTGTATCATGGATCAGTTCCAAAGCATGAGACTTTTGTAATTTGCAAAGAATTGAAGCCACTGTAGCCTTTGCTTCTGTGGGGGGGGGGGGGAGAGGGGGGGTTGTAGGAGACAACAGTTGTTAAAACCCTAAGGCTACTAATTAACAAGATTAATCAAAGTGGGACTGCCATCTCTAGCACACTACTGGACTGGATCATTGTCTTTTTCATATAGAAAAAAAGTTTTCGCTAGCCCTAATGTCTTTGATGAGCTGCTTATCTGAAACGGCTATACCGAGTTCTCGTGGGTCCACAGGGGGTTCATCAAATTTAATTTATGTTACACACTAGAAACTTTTCATTTGGCTCAATTGAACTACATCGGCTTACGAGCAACCGAGGCCTTTTTGTGCTCGTTTGTGACGGCAGCTGGCGAGCGGTTGCGTAGGGCACACTGTACGATCACTCCTTGATTTGACCCTTGACCCTCTGTGAGTGTGAATGTTTGAATGCCAGAAAAAGAGGAACCATAGATACTTGTTAAGTGTCATGATGGTCAGTGAAAATAAGCAGTAGTGTTGAGACTTGAACTGCACTCTACACTGGACTCAGAGCTGTCAGGGTGATAGATAAGATATTCTTTATTTTTATTCTTAATAATCTTAGCCGGAGAAGCTCTTCACACACCTCGGTTAGAACTTTCTAAAGATGCAAAATGTCTGTAAAGCTCCAGGAACAATAGAGGCCAGAGGTGTCGAAGTAGATCAGCTGAGGTGGTACGCACTCGTTGCCTTGCTGGGTTTTTTTTTGGTTTGTTTTTTTTTTTCATTGCATGTGAGCAATAGTTCATGTATTAATACGATTATGCTAAGACAGCTTTAGTGCATAGACTAAGAGTTCATTAACATATTACCCTGGTCGCCCTGAGGAACCTCTTGGGGCTTTGCTTTTCGATGTGTCTGAACATGTCATAATAAGTTGGATGCGTAGCAGAGATAAACCCTTTGCACCTCTCCAATGTCCTCCTCCACCATAGTAGCCAGTTCAGGTCAGTTGGTCAACCATTGAGTGCTTTTCATTTTCATATTCTCTAAAATTTTTCTTTTTTTTGTTTGTTTTTGATTTGGGTTTTCTTTCCACTTAAATGTAAAAAGAGAGTTGATGAATGACGAAGGAGCGTTGTGGTGCCAATCAAAAAAAGATAGTAAGGACTAATTACAGTTTACAGAGGTAATTGGCAACACTATATTGCCTTAAAAAGTCACTAGTGAAGTAGGACAATTCCAAAGAAAGTTCCAAAGAAGCTGCTTAAACCATTACATATACTGAGCAGAAATAATGACAATATCCCCAAAAAAATGTCAATGCCAATTTCTGGGCAGTGAAGACCCCAGAGACCCGAGAGCTAATCTAGTCACTTCTGACGTGAACTGTATAGCAAACTTTCAGCCACGTTTTAGATTTTGGCCTTTTCATGTACATCTGTATATAATAATAATAATAATAATAATGATCATTTGGACTCTATTGACCCCGCATTTAGGAAATTCTTGCAGATGTGCTGCAACAGGCTGCCCCTTGGAGGCGCCATGTGGTTCCTATGGGAATCTTAAGCTAATACATCAGTTACTCTTGTCCTGTCATAAAATGTTTATTAATATTATTAATAGTTAGCAATCCGTTCCTGCTTGCTTAAGTGCGCTCCATAAGATGTTCCCAGCACACTGGAAACACTTGGTTTCCTCCACTTAAGTGTTCTTTACACTCTGCAGGCAAGATGCCCACTCATATTTAGAAATCTAGTCTAAAATATTGATAAATCTATAGTAACTACCTAGAGCTTGTAATAAATTGTTGTTGTTGTTGTTTCTTTGCAGGAAGCCTTTTAAAACGCATTTTAAAAAAAAGCAACATTCATCATTACCTGACTTGGCCTCTTTCCTGGACACCGCACAGCCACTTTCCTTTCCCTCCATTCACAGTAACTGTTGGCCCTGGCTTCTGTGTGTGTGTGTATATCACTGCAGTCGTAGTCATCGGTGCATTATGTAGCATGGAGAAGGTCAGAGATCACCTTAGGGTGTAGGGGGAGGCGGTCTGACATGCTAACTCATCCACAGGTCATGCCTTACTGAATCACCTACTGTGGATTATAGCGCATGACTGGGTCATACAACAGTCGTCCAGGAGGGTCACATATGGTGACTGCAGCACGTCAGTACGCAGCTGTAGATTTGGGCTTATGGCGGAAAAAAATGCTAACTGCTAAAGTGTTTAGATCTAAAGGTGATTGACTCACCAAAGCTGTACCAGTACTTGGCGTTGTTGAAAATGTTATGACTCTCATTGTTTTGTGCAGATGTACGGCTGTTGCCATCCACGTCAAGTTTGACTGTTGACATAGTGTTTACTTGAAGGGAAAATATTTTTTTAGCAGAATTATCCATCTTTTCAATGCTTTATAACGTCGAGGAGGACAAGTCTGCGACCGACAGGCCGGCGAATGTTCTAGCCAAGTGGATAGCGATGAACTGCAGGCCGATAAACACAGCGGAAGACGACGGCACAACAGTTGTGCTGCGGTCAATGGTTTAGCCAGGTAAACAAAATGTGGGGCCAAAACAATTTTAATTATGTGCTCTGTATTTAGCTTTCAACTGTTTATTTGGTCAACGTGGCTGCGCTACATCGACTCTCTTACAGTAAGCACGGAAATGGTTACAGTCGATAGAGGTTCTTGGGAAATCTTGGATTGCCCCAGGTACCTTTCAGTTTCTGAAATGAGTAATGTGGTGTCCTCAAAGACAAAAACGTTTGTTCTGTCACATTTTTCCATTCCACGAACCTGCTACTAATTAGCCACAACCGAGAGTTAATGATTTTGCCCCTGCACTCGTTTCCTTTTTTATCTCGTCTTTGGGCCGCTGCTGACCTTACATTACTGCTTTCTAGTTTTACAGTGATCTCAGCTCGTGTCCCGTCTTCCCTCCGACAGCAGGCGGTTCACGTGAGGTGACTGCCTCATTCTCCTCTCCATCCGCCCACCCTCCCACACAAGCCCCTTTAACTGCCGCCAGGCTCTGCACTTTCTTTCCTGCCTCATTGAGACGGGTCCACTGAAGCTTGCAGGATCAGCTGCCGTGCGAGCCCAGCTGAGAGTTCCAAGCACTCTGTTGCTATATTTCACTTGAGAGCAAGTGACCCCAGAAAAGGTTTCAGCTCGATGCGGGAAAACATACTGTAGACTCGTTATCTGTAGATCAGTGCACATGAATTAACAGCTGATAAACACGTACTCTAATTGTTAATAAGGTATTAACCACATTAACTTGTGTGCTCCCAGATAAGCAGATGTTTGCTAATATAGTTCAGATAGCTTCATGTGTCTAAGAAGATATTTTTGGGGGGGGCTGCTTAACGTTCTTAAATAATAGGTTTTTGCATAATGATTTTATACTATGTCATGCCAATAATTCAAAAATATTTGAAGTGTTTGGCAATGCCAGACAAAAGCCATCGTCACACAGAGCCTACTCATGGTAAACAGCCATGTCTGCAGAGCTCAGCACAATAAAAAACAGGTGACATTGCCTGTCCTCACCCTCGTTCTTTTCCTCAATTTCCTAAGTACTTACATAGTTAGAAGTGGACCATTGTTAGACAGTGATGAGAGCATGTGTCTGTTTATGAATGCACTGGCTCGATGAGACTTTTTCACGTCCAATACTGCGACTTGGAGTGTCTGCCATTTCCTGTAGCAATTTGATACATTCTCTTCCAACATGCCATTGGCTACCGTTGCAGTACGGAGGCATGAGTGGTCCTGTTTACAGCATGACGCTCAAGTTGAGCATTTGGGCTTAGGAATCAGATCGGGTGGCTGTAGTTGTTGTTGGGCTTAGGAATCAGATCGGGTGGCTATAGTTATTGTTTTTTTTTTATGTTTGATCCTGAAATTTTGACCAATATCTGACCGATACCAATCCTGAGTATCAGATCAATCGTCCCGTATGATCACCTGCCATCGCTTATGAATACAAAGAATTTAGAGTTCTGACTTTGGCCTGGATATTGATGCAGTAGCAAAGGGGCATTGTCAGGCTATACGGATGGTACACAACGCTACAAATAGATTCCCAGTGACCAAATGGCCGTCCCTGCTCCTTGAGTCCACGGCAGTTAAATACCTTATCTCTTCAACAGACTCATTACGTGCCATTGACCGTTCACTGACCTGCTGTTAAGGTCTTTGATTGAAGACGAAGGATCGCGTACAGCTTTGTACCTTTTTTGATGTAATTTAATTATTTTTTTAAAATATTTAATTATGGTATTTAACAAGATCTGTTTGTTCAATTAGAAATGTAAATGTTAAGAAAGCAATAATGCATCCATTTTTAAGGAACAAGGGGGACCGGAGCTAATCCCAACAGTCAGGCGAAAAAGCTGATATTATCTTTTTGGAATTACTAAACTGTGAGAAAAAAGACTTGATATTTGTAATATATATAACAGTAGCGCTGTTTCAAGCCGTGTTAGCGTTTGTTCAGATCGGCAGGGCATGTGGTAGATGGGAAGATAAGTCGTCTGTCGGATGACAAACAGAGATGCTTTTGTTTGTCAAAAAAAAAACAACCCAACAACTTTTCATTAATGCTCAAGAGACAGCACTTTGCCCGTGTCTATGTTGACAGTTACATTCATATTCTTCTTGTTATCCACTGAACTAACTAACTCGAAATAGGTTTTATTTAGTTTAGTAATTATTGGACCTGACACTGTATTTTAAGAGGGAAAAAAGAGAGAGAGTTCACGCAACGTTTTTGATATCTTAAAGTCACTACAAAAATAATATAAACTGCAGATATTTTTCTGTTGCACAAGATTTTATTTGCCCTACGGTTGGGTTTATTTTTCTGTTGCACAAGATTTTATTTGCCCTAAGTTTGGGTTCACAGGAGCCCATTTTCATTTAGTACTTCATTCTGGTCACCAAACACCTTATTTTTCCCTTTCTCACTAGAGCTAGTTGATGGGCCGAGAGATATGAAGGATTCTGTTTCACATCTTAAGGGTTTTTTTGTTTGTTTTTTTTGAGCAAATCGATGCAATAACCTGCTACTTAAACAAATGCGGAATTCATAATGCGCTGCAGTAGTTATCAATGGAGAAGAAGGAGATTTTTGTGGAGAGCACCTTATCACCTGGGATCTCGAGATGAGAGACACACAAAGCTGTATACCTGCTGTTTATCCTCCAATGTTGATCTGGTAGAAATAGCTGGGAAAACATATGCATTCCAGAATATTGGTATTTAATGACCTGAGGATAACCTTGCATCTTCAAGCCCCATGTCTCGCTTTATTACATGCTTTGATTAATCCAGTGGTTTCCAACCTTTTTTATCTTGTGACCCCATTTTGACATCACAACATTTTGGCGACCCCCCGGAGACAGTTTTCGTTTGCTTATATGTTGTCTGTTTGTTATATTGCGTTGCAAATAGACAGATTAGTGCAAGGAGTGACATTTGGTTTTCCAGGTTCACATGTAAAGTTAGGCAAACTTTGAAAGCAGTGGTTCTCAAACTGTGGTATGTGTACCACCAGTGGTACGTGAGCGCCCTCTAGTGGTACGTGGCAAAAATTCCTATTTTCACATTTACATTTTCAATTGAATAAATCTGAAACATACCATGCTCAATTAATACAAAATTTAAACATAAACATCTCTCCTGTATGGTGGAAGCTAATTGGGTAGGTCTATGCTGCTATATTCTAATGTTGGTCATCATGGAGCTCCATGTTTTCTCAGGTGGTACAGAGTAGAAAAACCACTGCTATAGAGGATTATAGTGCTTTAGTTTCAGCTTATGTTTATCATTTAATTTTACTTTTATAAAGACATGTCAGGGGACCCCGTTTCAATTCCAGACACCTCCACGTGGGATTGCAAACCCCAAGGTTGAAAAACACACAATTAATCTATCATTATTATTATTATTTTATTTATTATAGATTGCTGCTTTACCCGTTGGCCTCTGCAAGCATTTCATTAGCACGGTGGTTAGCTTGAGTAATAAAGTAGAAAGTTTGGTCTTCGACAAACATCTCTTGCGATGCGTCTTCACATGTGAGATCTTTGATTTGTTGCGATGTAAGATCAAATTGAACTGCGAGCGTGCTCCCGCGCTGCCTTTCATGCTGCTTCAGTATCACGGCACGGAGAAAAAAAAAAGAAAAAAAACACAAAGCGGCAAGGACTGAGGGAAATCTGCAGTGTTCTGCCACTCAACATCCCCCTCATTCCCAAACAACGGCGTCTCTCTGCCACTACAAATACATTAGAAATCAATTATTTATGGAACAAAGTCAAGACCTCTTTTATCTCTTCCTTTTATCCAATTAAATTGTCTAACCATTCCAAGCCTTTATAGCTCACAGGAAAGATACTTTTCTTTTCTTTTTTTTTTTTTAAAAAAAAAAAGGAAGAAAAGATTTTCTCTTTAGTCCTTTTGACTTTTCAACGTAACATAGAAAAGACACTTCTGAGGGTTAAAGAATGAAAAGAAAGTGAGTAAAGTGTAAATGAACACCCCCGCCCTCCACTGTCATCACTGCAGTGGTTCTACGGGAACTATTTGAAGTTTTGATATTAAGACTTTGGTTCCTTTCCCTGCGCAGAGGAACTCTGGGAGCCCTTTTCATGATTCCTTTATGCACATCTGAAATACTGGAAGTATTTAGGATCATCTCTGCGGGAGTAAATATGATTCCGCTTCAGCTGCTGTCCTGTATTATTCACCGAGTTGATTGAAGTGTGGTGTCGCAAAATTCCAAGCGCTACCTCATACACACTTGTGAAATTAATAATGTAAAACATTCACTTTTTTTTTTCTTTTTGCTCTATTGTCATTGAGTCAGGCTTGAAGTCACAGTTGTTGGATTTTTTTTCTGAACTCTTTTAAGAATTGCTACGTATAAAATTGTACGATTTATTAAAACGCTAAAGGCAATTTTGACAAATTTCTTTTGTGAATTTGGGCTGTACAAATATAAAATTTAAAAACAATGGGCTGTACAAATATAAAATGTAAAAACAACTCTGGTTATAATTTTGTAAGTTATAATAACATAACTATATGCCCTTTGTAAGTTATAATAACATAACTATATATATATTGTAGTCCAGCTCCTTGCTCCGATATTAACTTTTTGCCGATATCCGATATGCTGATATTTTCCAATACACTTAATTTCCAATTCCGATATTAACCGATGCCGATACAGTGGGGCAGTGGTGGCCTACTGGTGCCACCCCCAGGGGACAGAAGGTTCTTCATCCCCACCAGCCCCCCCATCAATAAATAAATTGAGCTGCAATGCTGCCATCTAGTGACTAGAGGCTTGTTTATGAAGGCGCATTAAACTATTTTTAGAGAATATTTTTAGTGAAACAACAGATGTTGTCAGTGCCTTAGACGTAAGCCTAACAAATGACACTGAAGAACACTTTACTTCAGTTAAGGAGAATTAAGTATCTGCAAGTCACACCAAAAAAAAAAAAAAAAATCAGACTCAGCCAAATAATTGGAATCGGTGCATCTCCTCCTATTTTGAGCTTCCAACTAAACTAACCTACATGTTTTGGAGGAAACTAGAGCGCCTGTGTGAAACCCATGGGCAGATAGACCATCGGTTACTACTGGGAACACTGTGTGACCAACTAAAATAAACACACACACAAGGCTTTTTTGTGCTCTCATCTCTTTAATGACATCAGTTTCTGGTTGTTGCACCGAAAGCAAATATCATTTGTTTATTCATTTGCGTATTTGAATCATCAGTACATATTTCAAAGACGTTCACAGTCGTTACTGTACATGTGTACTGTGAGGTGTTGTCGTGCGCTGTGGTTTCTGTTTGATCTCCCTCCCAGTCGGAGCTGTTCTCATCGAACTGCCTCGAAAAAGGGAGGTTGTTCATTTGAATTTGAAATTAAAGTGCTTCCAAAAATGTCTTTAGGAGAGTTTTGAGGAGCAACATAAAGTCAGGGCTCTGACAGTTAGTGCCCGTGCGGCCGCCAAACTGCTACTCCGTGAGGCCATTATGTGCGTTTCCATGTGTGAGCTGACAATTCTCAACCTGATGTGGGCCTGCGCTCCACACATGATACATGTGTTTGTGTTTATGCTTACATGTGTGATATGTGTGTCTGGCTCAGAGATTTTTTTTTTTTTTAACTGTTGGATGTGTTTGTGTGTGTGTGTGTGTGTGTGAGCATTTGTGCCTGCACAGTAAGCACAGTCGCACACAAATAGCTCCTCGGGGCCCTGACGATCACAGACTGCCAAAAGGAAAAGGATTTCCGAGAGGTTTCCTTCTCGCTATTTAAAGTGGGAGCCCTGTGGGACATGTTTGGCATTCTCATCCATTCACTGAGGATGGCCTGTGATCTGAAGCCACTAACAGCCTCACTCCTCA